AGCGTTCCGGAACGCTCTCAGAGCGTTCCGTAACGCTCTGCAAGGGCCGCGGCGCCCGAGACATCCTCCAGAGCCGCCGGATCTCAGAGACTCTCGACTCGTCCACCGAATTCCTCCTCCTGGCTTCGTCTTGCCTCTCTCCCGCGCCTGCCCGATTGCTGCTTGGGGGCCGGGCTAGGGTGTGCCGCCACCCGGCACTGCGCTCACCGCATCCTGCCGCCCTTCGGCGGCGCCCTGCCCTGGCCCCCCCCCCCCGCGCGGAGGTGTCGAGCTACCTCGCGGCGCAGGTCGCCGGGGGCATCGCCGCAGGCCGCGCGGCGAACGCCATGGGGGGTCTGCGGGGCCCAGCCCTCGCCCTCCTGTTGTCGGTATCGTTTAACCGATCCCCATCCCCATGCCCATCCCCTTCGAGACCCGAGACACCCCTCGAAACCCGAAGGGAACGACCTATATCCCCATCTAGGGGGGTTAAATCGGCCAGTGGGGCTCAGGCCACGCCGCTGGGGATGTTAAACGATACTCCCGCTGCTCCCCTTTCGAGGAGGCGCACGAGCATGGAGCAGCGACGCGTGGACGAGCGGCGGGTCCTGCTTCTCTGCAGAGTCGGCGCGCGCCGTCCCCAAGTCGGCCGGCACCAGCCTCCCGTTCCGGGGGTGCCTCCCCCGATCCGTGGATCTGGTGCCGAATCGACAGATCCACGGATCCCAGATGCACGTTCTACCAGTGAAGCACATCCTATCCCTGTGTTTGGCATCACCTCACCTCGATGCCGATCTTAAGGATTCCCTCAGTTTCTGAGGGCACGTCCCTAAGATTGTCCTCGCTTTTTGCTCGCCCCTCTTAGGGATAGGGATAAGTTCGAGGCTGGTTAATGTTAGCGGGCGCCCGATCCTCGCTGGTCGCTCGGCCCTCAGAGGAGAGGCTCCCAGGTACAGCGGGGCCGCGCATCCAGAAGCGGGGTACTTCTCGTCAGGGTTCTCTGGGTTTCTTCGCTGCGCGCGCGCTGCGCGGGGAACCTCCCGAGTCCGTTCGAGAACCTGCTGCGTCCAGGGTGTTTGGGCTGCTCCCCAGTCGCACCTCGCGCGCGGGTCTCTGGGACTGGGTGTCTTGCGAGGGTGTCGTGCGGCCACTTCCGCACTGAACCGATGCCGCTATCCTTCCCTCGCTTTCGCCTTTCTGGGTTTCCTGACAGGCTCTCGTCGCCGGGGCTGGATTCGCCTCCAAATTCTGGTCAGAACGCACCTCGGGAGAGGTCTGGTAAGTACTTGTATCGATACCCTTCGGTTTGTCCCAGGACCCTGGCATGTTCTCTCTCCGTTTTTGCAGTAGTTTGACGAGTTGGCGAGTTCTCCACAGCTGAAGTTGGCAGGAACCACGAATGCCCTTGCCTATCAGCCCACGCGTCCTTCAGGATGCTTGGCAATCTTGCTTGCTTGCTTGCTTGAGTTCAGGAGTAGCGGAACATTTGGGAAGTGGAGGGACAGACGAACGTCCGGAAAATATGCAAACATATCGGGAATTTCGGGATTTGTGTCGATTCGTTCGTGTGTCCTTGGGCCCCTCATGCTTGCAGCAGCTCGATCAGCCTGCAATATCGTCTGCTTCTGCTCTACACTTAGCGGGGCCATATCTGCCCAGGACGCCTCGTCTAATGCTATAGCTCGAGTAGGAGATCGACTGCAGCAGTGCTTTTTCTCAACATTGATTTTCTCGTCGGGCGGACAGTATTCGTAGATCCACGGGGCATTCTACGTATTTTTCGTCGATCCGACGACCAACTCAATTTCTGGGGCAACTCCATTCCGTAGTATATCCCCTATTCGAACAGTCCCTGCTTGGCTGCACAGGTAATTCCAAACAGGGCCGTGCCCGACTAACTGCTCATCGAAGCAATCGCCTTCTTCGCCGCCCCACCTCTTGCCCCTGGCACGTTGTGGTCTCACGCTGTCTTGCACCGTGGGCCGAGGCGGCCTCTTCCGGGCCTCTGTTAGGCGCGGAGTAGTCTGACTACGGGGCTTGGGCTCCCTTTCTGTCGCCCTGAAGGCCCGCTGGCATCGATGGTTGGCCTGCATGGAAAAAGGCCAGACTACTGCCAAGGCCTTACGGCCGGTGCCGCCGACCCTGAAGACGACGACGACGACGAACACGAGGAGGAGGAGGAGGAGGAGGAGGGGGATTAAGCTGGAAGGGATCAGGAGAAGGCGAAGGAGATGTTGCCCATGTGGGCCGAGGGAGTCGTAGCAGAGACAGACAGGGAGTCTTGCCTGCGGCCCTTCCCGCCGCCGTGCTGGGGTTGTGGTTGAAAGGCCTCTTGGATGTTTTCGGGCCTATTGGGGCCTCTGTTGGGCCTCTTAGGGCTCTCTTGGGGGCCTCTTCGGGCCCCTTGAAGGGCTCTTGGGGCCTTCGGGGGCTTCTTGGGGCGGGAAGCTCGACATGTCGGTTCGTGGTCATCTTCCTGGGCCTGCTTGGGGCCCTCTTGGAGCGCCTTGGCTTTTTTCCCCAAACAGCTTGCTGAACGGGGTGCTGTTGTGGTAGAAACTAACTATGGCCGAGGGAAGTCGGAGCAGAGACATCCTCACAAAAATTTGATGGTCCGGGCCGTTTCGCTTGAGACATCCTCACAACTCTCGTTTCTGAGTTGGCCGGGATTGGCCGTTTCGCCTGAGACATCCTCGAAAAGTTGCGCTCTGGGACGCCGCGCGAGAGGTGGTCCGGGCCGTTTCGCTTGAGACATCCTCGCAACTCTGGGCTCCGAGATGCCTGCGCGAGGTGGTCTGGGCCGTTTCGCCTGAGACATCCTCGAAACTCTGAGCTCTGAGATGCCTTGCGCGAGGTGGTCCGGCCCGTTTCGCCTGAGACATCCTCGAAACTCTTACCTCGGAGATGCCGCGCGAGAGGTGGTCTGGCCCGTTTCGCCTGAGACATCCTTGCATTTCTGAGCTCTGAGATGCCTTGCGCGAGGTGGTCCAGCCCGTCTCGCCTGAGACATCCTCGCAACTCTGAGCTCTGAGATGCCGTGCGCAAGGTGGTCCGGCCTGTTTCGCACAAGACATTCTCGCAACTCTGAGCTCCCAGATGCCGCGCAAGAGGTGGTCCAGCCTGGGGGCCCAGAAGACCACATGTTACATATCCTCCCTGGGACCCTGGGAGCCCGCCTGAGACATCCTCGAAACTCTAACCTCGGAGATGCCCTGCGCGAGGTGGTCCAGCCCATCTCGCCTGAGACATCCTCGCAAGTCTGAGCTCTGAGATGCCGTGCGCAAGGTGGTCCGGCCCGTTTCGCACAAGACATTCTCGCAACTCTGAGTTCTCAGATGCTGCGCAAGAGGTAATCCTGCCTGGGGGCCCAGAAGACCACATGTAACATATCCCCCCTGGGACCCTGGGAGCCCCAGGAGGCCCCAGAGAGCTTCAGGAGGCCGCAGGACGCCCAGGACAGGCCCCAGGGGTCCGCAGGAGATTCCCAGAAGGCTCCCAGGAGGCCCCAGGAGGCCCCCTATCAGAACGTGTCAAGTTAATACACATCCGGTGTCGATTCGTTGATTTTTCCTGCTCTTGTGCCCCCCCCCATTTTGGGGGGCCCCGACGGCCACATGTTAGATATCCCCCCCTGGGAGCCCCAAGAGGCTTCAGGAAGCCCCAGGTGGGGTCCAGGAGGCCACAGGAGGAGAAGCCCCAGGAGGAAGCCCCAGGAGGTCCCCAGGAGGCCCCAGGAGGCCCCCGCAACTCGGAGCTCTGAGACGCCGCGCTCGAGGTGGTCCGGCCCGTTTCGCCTGAGACTTCCTCACAGCACGTTTCGCCCGAGACATCGTCGCAACTCTGGGGTCCGAAATGCCGCGCGCGAGGTGGTCCAGCCCGTTACGCTGGAGACATCCTCGCAACTCTGGGCTCCGAGATGCCCTGCGCGAGGTGGTCCGGCCCATCTCGCCTGAGACATCCTCGCAAGTCTGAGCTCTGAGATGCCGTGCGCAAGGTGGTCCGGCCCGTTTCGCACAAGACATTCTCGCAACTCTGAGCTCTCAGATGCTGCGCAAGAGGTGGTCCAGCCTGGGGGCCCAGAAGACCACATGTTACATATCCCCCTGGGACCCTGGGAGCCCCAGGAGGCCCCAGAGAGCTTCAGGAGGCCGCAGGACGCCCAGGACAGGCCCCAGGGGTCCGCAGGAGATTCCCAGGAGGCCCCAGGAGGCCCCCTATCAGAACGTGTCAAGTTAATACAAATCCGGTGTCGATTCGTTGATTTTTCCTGTTCTTGTGCCCCCCCCCTCATGTTGGAGGGCCCCGACGGCCACATGTTAGATATCCCCCCCTGGGAGCCCCAAGAGGCTTCAGGAAGCCCCAGGTGGGGTCCAGGAGGCCACAGGAGGCCCAGGAGGAAGCCCCAGGAGGTCACCAGGAGGCGCCAGGAGGCCCCAGGAGGCCCCCGCAACTCGGAGCTCTGAGACGCCGCGCTCGAGGTGGTCCGGCCCGTTTCGCCTGAGACTTCCTCGCAGCACGTTTCGCCCGAGAAATCGTCGCAACTCTGGGGTCCGAAGTGCCGCGCGCGAGGTGGTCCAGCCCGTTACGCTGGAGACATCCTCGCATCTCTGGGCTCCGAGATACCCTGCGCGAGGTGGTCCGGCCCATCTCGCCTGAGACATCCTCGCAACTCTGAGCTCTGAGATGCCATGCGCAAGGTGGTCCGGCCCGTTTCGCACAAGACATTCTCGCAACTCTGAGTTCTCAGATGCTGCGCAAGAGGTAATCCTGCCTGGGGGCCCAGAAGACCACATGTTACATATCCCCCCTGGGACCCTGGGAGCCCCAGGAGGCCCCAGAGAGCTTCAGGAGGCCGCAGGACGCCCAGGACAGGCCCCAGGGGTCCGCAGGAGATTCCCAGGAGGCTCCCAGGAGGCCCCAGGAGGCCCCCTATCAGAACGTGTCAAGTTAATACAAATCCGGTGTCGATTCGTTGACTTTTCCTGCTCTTCTGCCCCCCCATTTTGGGGGGCCCCGACGGCCACATGTTAGATATCCCCCCCTTGGAGCCCCAAGAGGCTTCAGGAAGCCCCAGGTGGGGTTCAGGGGGCCACAGGAGGCCCAGGAGGAAGCCCCAGGAGGTCACCAGGAGGCGCCAGGAGGCCTCAGGAGGCCCCCGCATCTCGGAGCTCTGAGACGCCGCGCTCGAGGTGGTCCGGCCCGTTTCGCCTGAGACTTCCTCGCAGCACGTTTGCCCGAGAAATCGTCGCAACTCTGGGGTCCGAGATGCCGCGCGCGAGGTTGTCCAGCCCGTTACGCTGGAGACATCCTCGCAATTCGAGGCTCCGAGATGCCGTTCGGGATGAAGAGGAGGTCGAGGAGGAGGAGGAGGAGGAGGAGGCATGTTTTAACATGCCATGCCAGCCCGCACTGGACGGACACGCAATCGACCTTGGAAACCGCAGTGGGTCTAAAAGCCCTGTTTGGGGATACTGCACTCCGGCTATAATTTTTGGCTCTTAGACGCCCAAGGGCGGATGCGTATCTGACCCCCCCCCTGGACCCACCCCCCTCGGCGGGGGAGGGATCAAAGGGAAGGGGCTTCGACTTGAGTACGAGGTTGCTACGGTTTTCTCTCGCTGGCAGGCTTGAATAGGAGAGTGCAGGGAAAAGTGACGACGGAGACGCATGGAAAGAGGACAACGGATGCGTCGACTGAGCGCACGCCGACAGGGTGTCCACACGCCGACAGGGTCGGCGGATTCCCATAAGCCTAAGCGACAGCAGAAAGGGATATTGGACGGGTCTTGATCGGCGTCATGGTGCCCTTCACGCGTCCGAAGGCCTCTCACAATGATCCCAGCAAGCCTCGAGAGGGCCCCGTTCTTGATGCTTCGCGTATCCCCACCAGCTGACTCGCCCCGGGCAACGCTCTGTTGGGTCCTCGGCAGTCCGTGTCGCCTGGCCTCCTTTCCGACCTCGCCATGTTGGGTCCTCACGTCAATTCCTCAGGTGCCTGGTTCAGTGGAACACGCTTCGAGCGCTCCGTGAGTAAGACTCGAACACGTGAGGTGTTCTGTGAGTGAGGCCCGGTTTCCTCCCCCCCCTCCCCTCGTCGCCGCCCGTTTCGCCCCCTCCTCCCCCCCCTCGTCGTATTGAGCTGGCGCCGTCTCGGCGACTCCTCACATTCTCGACGCTAAGATGCGTCTGCCTGAAGACGACGACTTGTATTGGGGCTGGTCGGGTTACGCTTTGTACCGGCCCATGAATATATTTTGTCGTGTTGAGCTGGCGCCGTCTCGGCGACTCCTCGCATTCTCGACGCTATGATGCGTTTCCCTGAATTTAGTTCATTTTGTTCTGTGCATGTGCAGCTGCGTGCTTTCGCAAATTATCTGGCTCTGTGCCCCAGTCAGTCCGATTGACCCGCCTTCTGGACTCTTCCTTGCGGGCCGCAGATCAAAAAATATCCCCACCAGAGGGAGCCCCGTGGTCGCTTCGGAGTGGTTCAGCCTTCCGTCAGACGCTGCGCTTCCCTGGACCCGTCCCAGCCAGTCAGGCAGGTTTTCGACGTCACTTCGGCAGCTTAGCCCACCTGGCTTGCATACACCGTTGGTGCGGACTTGGACTTGGCGCCCCGCTGGCGACTCGTTCATCGTTCACCTCGCGCTTGCGACCTCCAGGCGTGTGAGGCGTGTGGGCATCTACTCGCTTACGTCCTCGCGCTCGCTGAGTGGTTCACGCCACAGGGCGTACATATAATTTTCTGGCATTTTGTCAGACTGCACGTTGCCCGAGCTTCCCTGGGTGCCCTCCGCCTGTCAGCCTTCGCCGCGCGGCTCAGCAGCTGCCTTGTGAGCTGGCCCGGCCGGCCTGCTCGCGCCTAGCAGCTAATTAGGCTTGTTTCCCTGCCCCTGACAGCTTCTGTTTCCGCCTGCACCTTCGCTCGCGGACGCGGCCGAAAAAACGTATCCCCACCAAGTGTGCAATTTAGGCTACTCCTGGTTAGCTGTAGCTTTGGACGGCGCGCGGCCCTTCCGTTTGTGCTCGCGACCAAAAAAATCCCCACCAGCCCATCCAGAAACGATGCCCACGAGAGTTGACAAGGGGCGAGAGGAAACGACACGCATAGCCAAACAGCGAAGGAGGCTTCGGAGGCTCCGTGGCCATCTCGAGCCGTCTTGTAGCGGTCTTGGGGCCGCTTGGAGTATCTTGGGGGCCATCTTGAGTCAGCTTGGGCTATCTGGGCCATCTTGGAGGTCATCTTGGGCTCTCTGAGGCCGCCGGGGAGTCTTGGGTGCCTCTCGGGTGCCTCTTGGAGCTTTCTTGGGGCGTCTTGGGGCGCTTTTGGGCCTCTTGGGAGCCCTGGGGGGCGCCTCTTGGGGCCATCTTGGAGGCGGCCGGTCAAAACAGGAGGTACAAAATGTAGCTCGCGCCCCGTCGGGGGCCACGATCCTCGTGAGGGGTGTCAAACATTGGCCCTCCCAGGGGCCAGAATAAAGGACCCTTTTGTCACATCGGTCCCCCTCCCAAAAACCTCAGGGAGGGGAGTGGGAGGGTTCCTTTCCTCGAAGGGAAGAGGGGTTGTGGAAGGGGAAAGAGGTTCTCGTTACAGCACCTGTCGCCCAAAGGGCTGGTGGGAATTAGTGCTGCACGACGTCACTGGGAGGAACCACTGCGCAACCGTGCCTGGATTGAGGGCCACAGTCCTCTAAGAAGCTTCTTCGGGTCTCTTGGGGTGCTTCTTGGGGACCTCTTGGAGGCCTCTTGGGCCCCTTTAGGACCTCTTGGCGCTTGGCGGTCTCGTGGGTCATCCTGTTACATGAAGGCTCCCAGGGCCAGTTCGTGTTTTCCCCTCCGGGGTCGAAACCATCGAAGACCCCAAAACAACGTTTTCAATGCTTCCGTGCTTTCCGCCTTCAGGAAGAGTTCTGCGACAAGCCCGAGGAGCGCGAAGAAACGGTCAGAAACCCAGGCTTCGTGAGCTTATCGGGTCGTACTTGCTCGAGGAGGGGTCGCGAGGGCGCTGCACTCAGTGCCTACGGCACGGTGACGGCCGTCTAGGTGCTTGCGGCAGGTCCCGCCACCGTGCTTGCGCTCAGCGCTGTGGGTAGTTGGGCCGAGCACCGGATGCCGTCGCACGCGACCCCTCCCGCGTCCTTTGCCCGAGAAGGCCTCGTTGACTCATGGAGCTTGCTTGGCCGTCTTGGGGCCGTCTTGGGCCGTCTTGGGGCTCCCTTGGCTGTCTCGGTCGGGGCTCCCAGTATTGCTGGCCGCCCCCATTGGTTCAGAGCAGATGGGGTCGGAGGATCACCGAAAAAGTTTCGGGGTCTCGCACCTCGCGTTTTGGCGGTTTGTTTTTTTCTCCCCAGGGTTTGTTTCGGTTTCTTTCGTCCAGGGCTCTGGGGTCGTTCAAAGGGGACAGTGGCAACCTGCGACCTGGCCCGACCACCGCGCTGGCCGAGACCACTGGGCCCCGCGCGCATCTCTCCAGTAGGCGCGCGCACCGTCTGGAACAAACGCCGAAAGTTGTGGAGCGGCCCTCCGAGCCTATTTGCTGCGTCCCCGCTCGTGCGGCCTCCAGGTGCGCCGGGGGATGGAGGCTCTGGCCAGGGATCGGCCAAAACACAAGCGACATCACCCCACCTAACGCCCTTCATGTTGTGCTACGGCCCATCGGGGGCCGTAGCGCATACCACGCACAAACCCACGACAGATGTCTTCGTATATGCCAAGCCCCCCTGGGGCCGTAGGTGGGGTGGTATCCTTTGTTTTCTGGTCCGCAGGGATGGCCCCCCGCCCACCGCGCTCGCGCGCGCGTTCGCGAGCCGGCACCTACGTGCTCATCTACGTTGGTCGCAGCTTCCCGCTGGGCGGGGAGGAGAACCTGAGCCCGCACAAGTGGGGCCAGGTATCGACCGCCACCTCGCGCGCGCGCGTCTGCGAACTTTTCCTGCACTGCTCGTCCTCCGCCCCCTCCCCCTCCTCCCCCTCCTCCTGTGCCTCCTCCTCCTCCTCCTCCTCCTCCTCCTGCTCCTCCTCCTCCGTAGCCATGTTGGCTCAAGCCATTTTGCCCGCGGGGCGCGAGGGCCCGCCACTGGGTGTCCCCAGCCCCAGGCGCTCGCCTGGGGCGATGCCGACAGCGCACGTGCCGACTTCCTGTGCGGCCTCGTTGTCCCGTGCCGCCCGACGCCGCGCCAGAGTGCGCTGCACGGCGGCTCGCCACGCACAGGCTGCGGCTGGCGCGATCGCTGCACTGCTGCGGCCGCGGGACTCGCCCGACATGGTCGCGGAGGGCGAGGCTCCATGCGTGGCCGAAGGCCCACCGCCTTTCGTGCCAGGGCTTCTTGGCGGAGGTTCCGAGGGTGCCGTGCTGATCGACCCCCTGGGCCTGGTCTGCGCTCCCGGGTGCTGGCTGCTGCGCTCCATCCCGGCCAGCGCCGGCCGGCCTGGGCTCGCCGTGCCGTTGGCGCCTGGGTGCTGGAGTCCTCCTGGTGCTGGAGAATGGCGTGGGGACGGTGGACCTGCTGGACTCCCTGGTGATGCTGCGCTTGTGTCTTGACCCGCAGGTGGCGCTCTGCCGCCGTCGATGGGAGGCGCGCCGCGCAGCCTCCGCCTGCTGGACCTCGCCGTGTTCGGCGTGGTGGGGGTCCACGAAATGCCGCTCGAGCTTGTGGGGATCGGCCTGGAGTCGCTGGACTTTGTCTGGACGTGCGCGCCGGTAGTCCACGTATTCTCAAGCCTACCGATGTCGCCCTCCCTCGTCCAGTTCCTGGGCCGCGTGGGCGAGTCTTCGGTGCCAGACCTTGGGGCGGCCCTCTTCGCCGGCTTCCTGGGCAACCTGGCCGCATGTTCAAGGTTGGGCCTCAATCTTTTGCTGAAGAAGTCGTTTTTCCTCGACCAATTCCTGGGCTTCGTGGGCGTCTCTTCGGCGCTCGGCAGTGGTATGGTGCTTCTCGGCAGCTCGTCGGGCCTCGAGGGGGCGCGCTCAAGGCTGGGCCGCAATTCAGCGGGACTGACGGCGACATTGCTTCTTTTTGGCGGCCGACAGAGCTGCCCTGGTTGACGGTGCCACGGCAGAGCCCAGAAGCGACGGCCACCTTTCCAGCGACATGGCGTATCTCTGGGGGTTCTACGCTGAAGGCTTGCTGGATATTCTCTGTCGCCCCAAGTCGTGAACGGCGGACGGTGAAGGGACGACTGGGGCTCCTGAGCCGATTCCGGCAGTACCGCCTCAGATGCACGTCCTGGCGAGCTGGGACGCTGTCCCCAGTAGTCGTCAGAAGGGTTCCGCTTGGTCGTGCGCGCACATTTTGTCACGGCAGCCAGCCCTGGCAACCAGGGAGTGGCTTCGGTGGACTCCCCTCGCCTGGAGGGGGGCGCAGCCTGGCGGATAACACGAGCCGTGCTGTCCCAGGTGATGCCGCGAACCTGGTCCATGGGTTGGCCTCTCGAGAGAGTGGCTTTGGTGAATTTCCTGCGCTTTGCGGGTGGCGCGGCCTGGAGGATGGCACGAGCTGTGCCGTCCCAGGTGACGCCGCGCACCTCCGCTCCCAGGGAGTGGCTTCGGTGGACTCCTCTCGCCTTGAGGGGGGCGCAGCCTGGAGGGTAGCGCAGAGCGCTGCCCCAGGTGATGCTGCAAACCTGATTGGGGCACTGGGCTGATGCTGCGCTTGGCTTCGGCCCAGTTCCTTTTTTTCTTTGCTTTGTTTTTTTCGATCCGGGCGCTCTCCCTGCGATCCCTTGGGTGGGGGAGCGCGTCGCTGACAGATTCCGAGGCGGGCAAGGGCCCTGCCTCCTTCTCCTGTGCGCGCTAGGCGCCCTCTGGAGCGCGGAGTCCGCCGGCCAGCGTCGGATGCTCCGCCTCCTCTTCTTCCTCTTCCTCCTCCTCCTCGTCCTCCTCCCCGTCCTCCTCCTTCTCCCCTTCCCCCTCCTCCTCCTCGTCCCCGTGTGGGTGTTTCGTTCGCTCCTCTGGGGCCTGGAGGGGGCGGAGACGTAATCGGGCGTCGCCCGTTCTTCCTTAGACAAGCGCGGCCGAGGCCGAAGCACGCTCGAGCCCAGAGCGGGAGAGGGTGATGATGGTGGTGATGATGATGATGATGACGGTGTTGATGGTGATGATGATGGCGATGCGGATGATGACGGTGGTGGGAATGATGGTGATGCGGGTTCTTGTGATGATACTGCTGCTGATGATGCTACAACTGATGTTGACGATGATGATGATATGATGCTACTGTTGCTGCGGTCGATGATGCTGCTGGGGGTGGCGGTGATGACGAATTTGGTGATGCTTATAACGGTGATGACGATGGTGATTGCGATGATGACGATGCGGATGATGCTGCTGATGAGGATGCTGGTGTTATTGATGCTGCTGGTGTTGGTGATGCTGAGGAGGCGGAGGAGGAGGAGGAGGAGGAGGAGGAGGAGGAGGAGGAGGAGGAGGAGGAGGAGGAGGAGGCGGAGGCGGAGGCGGAGGGAGGAGGAGGAGGAGGAGGAGGAGGAGGAGGAGGAGGAGGAACAGGAACAGGTCATGGGACTGGTGATAGTGCTTCGGTTGGTTCCTCGCACCGTTTGGCGGGTGGGCCGCGTTGGGTTCTTTTTTCCCCCGTCTATGGAGGAGGAGGTGGAGGAGGAGGAGGAGGAAGGAGAGGAGGAGGGAGAGGAGGAGGAGGAGGAGGAGGAGGAGGAGGAGGAGGAGGAGGAGGAGGAGGAGGAGTGGAGTGGAGCAATCGGACGTAGTCCGTTCGGAACCCGGAGACGCCAGGGGGGCCATCCAATATTTCTCGGAGGGCCGTGGGGGGCGACATCCCACGGCACACCGCGACAGGCCCCCCTGGCCTCACAATTTACTCGGAGGCAGCACCCGCCGCGTAGGAACCGATCGCGGCTTCGGCTGCCGAAACGTGCATAGCCTCTAGAACAGACTTGCTGGGACCCGATCTGGACGGGTGAAGGCCTCGCCTGATCCTGCTGAGGTTTTCGAGGCCTTTGCCAGTGGGTCCCAGGGCCCTGCGCTCTCCCACTTGGTGGGAGAGAGGGCAAGGAAACTGTAGGCTTTTAACCTGGTGTGTGGCCGTATGGCCGCACTTCACACAGAAGAACATTTGCCACTTGGGGATGGTGGCCAACGTGTGGGAGGGGTGTATCGCCTTGCCACTGATCACACGGGGACCCCGCGACCACAGCACCTCGCCACACGCAGCAAACTCGGGAAGGGGGCAAGGCGGTACACACTCCGTGGCGGCAGCTGGAATAACGTGGCAAGCATCGACGATGATGAGGCAGGCAGAGCATCGCCATTTATCTGCACACCGCTCGAATTTGTGCTGAGAAGCCGCGATCGCGGTCTGCAACATAGAACGAGGGGCTGCCTCCTGGGTGGGTTGCCTCTCTGGCCACAGTCCTCGAGGCTCTGAATTCTTGCCAAAGGAACGTAGGATCAGTCTTGCCCTCTGTCGGACAATGGCTGCTATAGCATCGTATTCATCGGTCCTGGGAACAGGCGGGAGGGCAAGGGTGGCCGACTTGTGGGCCGCGCTTCCCGCGAGCTCGTCGGCTTGCTGGTTGCCGAGAGCAAGAAATTTTTGGAAACCATGCAAAGTCTGGGGATCGGCATGAGATGGGGTCCAGAGCACGGTGACCGAGGAGACGCCGCCAGGTCGATCCTGCACGAGGTGCCGAATTCTCAGCCAGAGATCCCCATTCTTATTCTTACCACTAAGGCTGCCTGGCCTGAGACATCTGCCATTCTGCCAACCACGCTGCAGGGCTAGGTGATCTGTAACAAACGTGAAATCCTGCTGGCACGTCTCAAGTGCCAGGCAAAACGCATATAATTTGCCTCTTGGGACGGTCTGGCGGGGGCCTGGGAGGGGGGGCAAGGGGGCCCGCGTGGAGGGCCCGGGAGGCCGAGGGAGGGTTCCAACGGAGGGCCGCGAGGCCAGAACCAACGCGACGTCGCCTGACGTCGTCGGAAAAGGCTCCGCCAGACCCGTCACCAAAAAGAAACAACTCGCCCTCAGCGTTACGAGCTCCTTCCCAAGACGGCGATCCCTCCCGCACCGCCCCAACAAACTCCCACCCGTCCCTCCCAGTCAATGGCTCGAACGTGGGCGTGGTGAGAGCGACAGAGGGAATGCCACGGAGCCACAAGGCGGGGTCGGCATCGACCCCCGCCGCAGCACGCGGCAGTAGCTTGTCACTGGCCTCAAACTCGGGTCCCACATTCGCCTCGCACTGCCACATTCGGTGAAACAAGGTTTCAGGAACTCCAGCGCTGCATCGGTCGCAGTTCTTGTCGATCTGGTAGCCCGCGCTGTGGAGGCGGTCTCTGGTCCACTGTCCTCCGCTGATGATGGTGTTGTCGAGGGCCCAGTCGCTGAAGTCGCCGTTTGCGAGGGACCTCCTTTGTTCAATGCGGATAGTGACCATGTCTGCGCCTCCAGCCAGCGTGTCTCCATGGGCATGCGTAGCGGCCTGGGTCCAGAGGAGCCTGTGTAAATCCTCGCTGAGGTCCTGCAATACTGTGTGAATGTCAGCGTCGAGGAGGTCAGGGTCATCGGCAGGGGGGAGGTTCCACTCCTCAATGTAGCCGTCCTTCGTACGCCTCCACGTGGTAGCTGAGGTCGGCTCCCAACTGGCCTCCAGCAGGGTCGCGATGGCCGCGCCTGTGGGCCCCTTGACCTTGCGCCACAACTTGGGGCCTGCGGCGAGCAAGGTGGTCTTGATCCTTGGCCAGGCTCTGGTGATCCTGGCATGCGTGCTCGGGTGGCGTATCCAGTGCTGAAGCCAAGCCTCTATGAACTCGATCCTTAGGGAAACTCCTGGGCCCATGCCGTCGAAGGTGGCGCCGAGGAGGGAAGTGAGGCATCGGCCCGCTGCTGCGCCCGTGGCAGCAATGGCGGCCTGACGCCGCCATCGTAGTAGAGTGTGCCGAGCGAGGCCGTGCACCTGATGACCGAATACTCCTTCTGGGAGAGCGCCAGTGCGCCACAGTCCAGCTGAGATTCGGGCCTGCTGTGCTGTGCTCCGTAGTCGGTGTATCTTGCGAAACCTAGCTGTGGCTGAGCTCTGTCGCTTCCTGGCTTTGGCTTGTACGCGTCGAGTAGCCGCGGCCGCGTCAACTCCAAGGTCGACGGCCGTGGCGGTCGCAGTAACTGGGATGTCGTACTGTCGCATCTTCTTGGCTAGCGAGTGGCGGACCTTGGTGGTGGAGCCGACGAGGGCGGTTTTGTCTGAGGCAGGCAGCTCGAACTCCTTTAAACCGTCGCAGAGCGTCTTGGCGGCACGGGGGAGATGCTTCTGTAGAGCACGTGGGACTCCTTCGACTCGAAGAACAGTGTCGTCTACGAAGGTCCACATCTGGGCAAGCTCTGCCTGAGCTTGGGCTTGCCGTAGAATTGGTAGTAAAATGGGTCGTGCCAATGTGGTGCCGTGAGGGGAGCCTGCAATGATGCCTTTGGAGGCGAAGATAGGCATACTCACCCATTGTCGACTGCGCAAGAATCTGGGCGCCAGGTATAGCTGCACTTCCAGTAATAGAATGATGGGGGGAAAGCCGCAGTTGAGGCCGACCATGATGAGGTTGGCGAGCTTAATATTGTCGTAGAACTTCTGGATGTCTAATAGCAAGGTGGCCGACTGTATGCCAAGTGCTGAGGCTGTCTCGTCTAACAAGGCCCTATGTAGGGCGGCTTGGAGAGCTGAGGAGCCTTTGATGGCTGTAGTCCAAAAGTCGTCCAGACCTTGCGTCCAGGCTGCCGATACAGTCGATCTAATGCGAGACCGGAGTCTGGCCATATGAGGTAGCATGCCGAGGACCCTGTCGCCTCCAGACTTCTTGGCGGCGAGAGCTGCAATAGTACCTGAAATTTGTAGTGGCCAGATGCCTGCTTGCTCTACTGAGTTGAGGGTATTTGCATAAGCTTCGACTGCTGGTTCTGGTAGTCGATGGAGGTCGCGAGGTCCTAGGGCGTCAACTCCGTGTGCTTTACTGGGTGGCATGCGGCCGTGAAAGCGGTGTACGATCTCGGCTGTGATGGGCTCGAGCGGTTGATGAGCGGCTGCTGTCTTGGCCTTTGACAGGGCCTGTAGGATGTCGTCAGAGGTCTCGGTGGCTTGCCATACTTGTTGCCATTGTTGCTTCTTGTTGTCCATGATAACGGTGGGGTCGGCGATGGTCAGGTTGGCCGTGTAGGCCTCGATGTGACGTACGGGCGCTGGCTTGACATGGGCGTGTAGTACTCCAGGGCGGCGCTTCCATTGCTGGGCGAGCCAAGCCCCGTAGGCCCTCTTGGACTTGGCGAGGGCGGCCGAGAGAGCTCTGGAGGCCCAGGTAGCGGTAATGGTGACCAAGTCGTCGGTGTCATCCTTGTCCAAGTGCGGGGCCCAGACGAGTGCAAACCAGCGGAAGATGGTGTCCTCATCCTTCTCGAACTGGAGGTCGTGCATGTGAGTGTTGAAGTGGTCCGCGCGCTGCTGGATGATGGAGGCCTGCTGCTGCATGAGCGCTGTGTGCTTGGGCTTGTCGTGAAGCGCAGCGAAGCGCTTGATGAGGGTGAGCGTGATTGCCCACCATTCCGACTGAGGGTCGCGTGCGTGTACGCGGCCTGGGGCGGCGGCTGTCTTCTTCCAAGGTAACTGGTAGCCTTGGGCTCGTCCTGTGTATGCTGCGGCTTCCTTCGGGTCGATCTGGTGGTGGCTGATAATAGTGTTCTCGAGCGCCGTGACCCATTTGGCGTACTTGAGGTTGAGGTCGTCGGCGTCGTGTACCCAGTGTCTGCACACGAAGTGCGCGTGTGGCTGCTTACAACGTGTGGGTACCGCTTCCTGCCATTGCTGTTCCCATAAGTCCATCGGGATAGCATAAGGGATAGGCTCCTGTGCTGCGGGCTCGTCATGTGGCTGGAGCTGTGCTGCTGCTTGTTGGAGTTCAGGAGGTAGATCACGTGGACGTGCCGCTCGAGCTTCAGCTGTTTTACGTTTCTTGATGGCGGTCTTGCTGTTGGGGTCTGGCGGGATCCTGGGTCTGTCCACTATGGGGAATGCCTTGGGAGTATCGATCGACTGATACCACCAGGGGTCTGCGCTGCCTGCTCGAACTTCAAGGCCAACATGGGTGGCCCAGGGTACGGTGGGGCACTGGCGAATGGAGATCGTGTGCTCGACGCCAGTCTTGACCAGTGCGAAATCAAGCGTGAGTCCCTGGCCCTTGTCGCACGTGGCGGATCCAGGTGCTCGCACGATGGTAGCATTCCATTTGGCGAGCCACTCTGTCGCTGCGAGCTGCTCAGGTGTGATATTCCAATCGGCCAGGATGATCCAAGGGTCCGTGAGCATAGAAACGAAGGCTCCCAGCGAAAGTAGCTTATCATGCACCGCACCCTCGATCTGCCTGTGGGGTTCCAGATGCGCTGCAATAACAACTAGGTTGCCAGAGCGTCTGTGCCATACCATGGGCGTGAAGCCGAGGAACGGGTCGGGCCTGCGCTGGGAGATGGCGAGGTCACGGAGGTGGTTGAACGTGGTGGCCTGGACATGGTACCTGGAAAGGATGATCTCGCCACCCGTGTTGCCGCCGTCTGATCTGCTGGTAGGCGTGGCCGTAGTCGATGATATCCTCCAACCGTCCGCTGCTAGCTTGTCGTAGATGAGCGGGGCTTTTCCAGACGAGATGTGTGTTTCAACCAATGCTACCATCTGGTATTGTTTGCCTGGCCCTGCCAGCCATTTCTCCGACTGTGGTCCCCACTGAGTAATGTTGGAGAAGAACAGGGAATGGTCTGACAGTGTGGGCTTCGTATGGCATTCGTATTGGTAGGCGGGTCTGGGGTCGGCTCTCGGGCTGCTGGGCTTCCAAGACCATTTCCCTGCGGTCGTGTCGACAGCTTTCGCCATCTCATCGCCCCCTACCAAGGACTGCGTCTTGGGCGGGGCGGCATCAGGGTTTGCCTTTGGAGAAGGCTCCCCTGGTTCCTGTACCACATGCACGTCGACAGCTTGAGCCGTCTCATCGCTCCCTACCGAGGACAGCGTCTCGGGCGGAGCGGCATCAGGGTCGGCGCGCGCTGCGCGCTGCGGCTGCCCTGGGTCCCATGCCACGGGGTCGACGGACTGTGCCGCCTCATCGCCCCCTACCGAGGACAGCGTCTCGGGCAGGGCGGTAGCGTACTGATCTGTGACTGCGAAATCGATGTGGGCGTCCAACTCGGCCAGCTCGTCGAACGGGTCGAGGACTGCGTCCATTGTGTTGATGATCGGTGGGTTGTCGTAGCTCTTGGTCTCTGACGGTAGGCGTCCCGTCTCACCATACCGTCCAGGGTCGGGTTGTAGGCGGCTAAAGAGGCTGCTGCGCTCCAGCCGCGGCGGTCGCAGTGGGCTTGCGCATCTGGCTGAGCATCTTCTGTGCCTTGTCTTCGAGGTCGGGGTCCTTGTTGAGCGCTGGCACAGGCTGTGTGGCATAGCCGCCGTCAGAAGTAGCGCCAGCAGCAGGTGCGGGGGGCTCATCGCTTGGCGCCGCTGGCGAAGAGGGCGCAGTGCCCTCAGCGTCCGCTGCGGCTGTCGCTGGGGGTTCGCCTGCTGCAGCCGAGGCTGCGGGCGGTGATCCACCTCCCTCTCTGGCGTGTCCATGCTCGTCCGCGCGCTGACGCTTGGAGGCGAAGCGCGTGCGCATGGTGCTGGCCTCTGCGCGGAGCTGGCTGATGCGGCTGGCGGTGTTGCCGAAGAGCTCCGTGACCTTGGCCTTGAGCTCCGTGGCGAAGCGCTGTTGGAGGGATTCCCATGCCTGGCGGTCGCAGTCGTCGATGTCGAGGCCTTGGAGATCGAACGCCGCACCCGCTTCGATAGAGATGTCGCCGTCCTCGAGGAGGCTGGTGAGGTTGAACGTCGGGATCTGCTGCGACGGCGTAGGAGTAGCTGTGCCGCCCTTGCGAGCGGCTTGGAGTGCATCGAGAGCCGCTTGGGCCTCGGCCTGGGCTTCTGCCAACTTGTAGGCGGCCTCCTCCGACGCCTGCTTGCGCTCTGTGTACCAGCTGAGCGCCTTTTGCTCGCTCTCGAGCAGCCTCTCCAGGTTGTTCTTGCAGCGGCGCTCCGTAGCCTGGGCGCGGCTGTAGATGTCGTTGAGGTCGGCTGGCTTCTGCGGCTGGGGCGGCGGAATCTGCGACTTGATGCCGTCGATGGCCGCCTTGTCGATGTGGGGGGCGATCGCCTGGAGCTCCGCCAGGATGTCCTCGGCGGAGCGAGCCTTGGGGGTGTCGTTCTTGCTGGCCCACCAGTCGTCCTCTTGGTCCTTGCCGTTGCCCTTGCCGCGGCGGCGGCGGGACTTGGGCCATGATGACCACGGTTCCCAACTCCCCTCGGGGCTGGACTGCTGGGTGCACTTGGGCTCGGCCTGGGCTGCGGCTGTGACGCGGGCCGCCCAAGCTCCTTGAACCGGAGGCGGGGCATCTGTCCACGGCGCCAAGGCTTTGCCACACCAGTAGCACGTCTGCTTGGTCTTCCAGTTCCAGGCGTACGAGCAGGAGTAGCACTTGACGTAGGCGCTGCGCTGCTGCGGGGGCGCCATGGACGAGCTGAGGAACAGAGAAGGCTCACCTGCGGGCAGCAGGAGGCACACGGAGAGTTGAAAGCTGTCGGGCTCAAGAGCCCTGGCACTGGCCGCGGACTAGCGGTATCCACTTGTTCCCCTGCGGAACTAGGCATCTTGAGCCAAAATGGCTACGGAGGAGGAGGAGGGGGAGGAGGAGGAGGAGGAGGCGGAGGCGGAGGCGGAGGCGGAGGAGGAGGAGGAGGAGGAGAAGGAGGAGGAGGAGGAGGAGGAGGAGGAAGAGGAGGATATTAGATTAGACTCTGCGCTGCGCGCTCACTCCACTCTATCTCAGGACATTGATCTGCTTGGCCAACTTAGTGTGGCCTGGAGCTCGACCTTTCTCGAGCGCCCTGAGATATTCCGAGCCCGTACGTGTGGGGGCCTGGCATTCAGACATGAGCTTGCCTGTGGCGCGATAGTGGTCGTATCCGAGCCCACCGCACTTCGAGCAAGCGAAAATCCGTTCCTTCAGCGCCCCCGCCCCAACCTCCCACCACCGCATAGTGTGAGAGGGATGCGCAGAAAAGGCCTCTCCTACAAGGCCCCACCTCCCGCGGGGCACTCGATGCGGGGCCAACAATGAGCGAGGGGTTGCAAGGGGGACGAAGCCACTTAATTTCGGTACCCTTACCCCTAGATGGAGGCTCCGCGGAACATTTACGACAACGCCACTGCCTACGCAGACGACCATTGACCCTGGAGCTCTCCAAGAGGTGGGCCGTGCGGGATAACTTCGCAGGTAAATCATACTTCTTGCTGGTCGGTCCCTGGGCGGCAGCTCTGGATGACTCTCCCTCTGGGCGGAATGACGGCATCGTAGCCAAGATACCTGTCAAACGGGCGCGGATGGCTTTGGCCTCCGTCTCGAGCTCCAAGAGGGAATCAGCTGCCGCACTCGGGACCTGCGCGGCTGGTGAGAACCTATCGGCCAGCCCGTCAGCCAGCTCATTGAATTGATACAAAGCCTTTAAATTGTCTGACGCTCGATCGAACTCGGACCTGGTCGCGTGGCTCGCGACCTTCACGATAAGGACGTCACGGGACCCCCAGAGCTCTCGGACGAGGTGCCAGAGGTCCCGATTCGTCTTCGGCCTCCGCCGGGCCTTCGAGCACAGACGGAAAGCGCCTCGCTGGACATAGGCGCTGTCGTTGACATATGTCAAATCTCTGCCTGGGGTGGCCAAAAGGGCCTATTTGAGGGCAACCAACTCGCCACTGTTGATCCCTTGACGAGGGCCAGGGGGGGGCCCATCAAAACCTCCAGAAGCACTTAAAGGCAGAGGCGCCTCCCTGGGATCGGCCCCGCCAGCAACAGCGACAACGCACCGGGTGAGACGACGCAGCTTGGAGTGGCTAGTGTGCTTTCTCCCCGACGCACCCCCGCTCAGCCAAACCCCCCCCGCCCCCCCGAAGGGCACCTAGCAGGTTTTGCGGGGCCGCGCCTGGCACAGGGAAGCGCGGCGCGTCGATCCGCGGGTCTAGCTGAACCTGCAATTCGTCTGGTGGCTCTGGGATGGCCGTCCACTCTCTAGGGGTAAGGCCTCGGGGCCAATAGCATGGATGCGACTGACCACCTTGGACTGCCTGGTCTTTTAAATGCTGTGTGTCGGCACAGCGGGGGATTTCATTATTGGCAATACAGGTCCAGCAGCGGTGAAGGTCGGTCTCGGGCTCAACTTCACAACGGGGACACAAGATGGAGTCGACCTTTACCCCTGCTTGGGAGAGCCGAGCTTTGGGCCAGAAGCCCGCCGTCATGACCGTGCTGAGGGCACCTCGAAACTTTGTGGCTCCCTTCTTGGCCAACGCACGCATCATTTTTCACATATCTGCGGCTTCGGCGCCCTGCTCAAGGCCCCCCTCCATTATAATGTTTGGCAGTTGGGCCCAGACCGAGAGCCTCAAGGTGTCTCTGAAGACCTCCAAGAAGGGCTCCCAGTCAGGGTCCGAGTCGAAAATATCTTCACTCACCTCATACTTATCGCCTGTGGGGTGGGCCCACTTCCACGGCCCCTGGGGGTCCCAACCCGCGGACCACAAAACCGAAATCGTGCCCGAGATCAGGCCGTTAATCTTCCTCCACTGGCGGTTCTGAGGGGTGGCGAGCAAATTATCCAAAATGATCGGCCACGCTCTGGCCGCTCTCTTCCTGAAAGCTTCTGACGAGGCGAGCATTTCAAACCGCGAGCTGGTGGTAGCAGTGGGCAGAGAGATAGCGGGGTCCTGGTCCCCGTAGTCAATGTGCAACGCCGTGGTCAGACATCTAGCCCGAGCTTTCGAAGTGGCGAAACGACCGAGGGACCTGGGGAGCTGGGGGAGGGGCTCCGGAGAGAGGGGAATGGCCTTGGTGCGATAGCCAATCCTAGGGATGATGCCAGTGGTTGCAATTCGGCGAGCAGCTCGGGAGCCTGGCGTGCCGCGAGCAATCTTATTCAACTTCCGAGCCTGCCATGATGCCAACTTATTTCCTCGCGCGATGCTTGGAGGCCTGGTGCAATCGGCGGTGGCCCCTCTCGATGCCGAGGCCCGCAGCAGCTCCGACACTGTTTACTTGGAGGCCAGCTTGTCTTACAGCCGAGGTGAGCTCTGCTGCGAGGACCCTGTCGGAGGCTATAACAGCCGACTTGTCCGAGAGGTGAAGACTGTCGGCCGAGACACCCGCAGGAAACTGTATGGCCGCATCCGCCAGGGATTTGACAGCGGCCTTGCGGGCCCCCCCCTGACGGAAGTTAACATCGTCGACCCAGGATTTGGCGACGAGCCCCTTGGGGAAAAAGGCCCGATGGACCAAGTCCAGGACAGGAAAGAGAAAAGCAGCGGCTCCGTTTTTAGCAATCCTACAGCCTGCTAGGATCCCCGAGGTGGCCAGGATGGGGTCACTGCAGGAAGAACGCTCTCTTGCATTCCGCGGGCCCAAGTAAAGCTGGGCCGAGAGAAGGAGGGCCGTGGGGGAGTGCCGTAGGTCCAAGCACCTGTGCATGAGTAGGCCTACATCGAGCGAATCATAGAATTCCTTTATATCGAAAAGAATGCTCGCGTGTGGGATCCCGATGGCATCTGCTGCCTCGTCCATGAAATGCCTGCCTACCGCCGCCCAGAGGGCGCTACTACCTCGAATGGCCTCGCCCCATAAACCCGCCTTCCCCTCCAGCCAGTCCCGAGAGATCTTATAACGGAGGAGGCTCCAGAGCCTGGACAACCAGCGCAAAAGGGCGATCGCCCGTTGGCCGCCGGAGTCCTTAGGCAGGAGGCCGATGATAGACGGCAGCAGCTGCCATGGCCAGGCAAGATCAGCCTCGGCTGCGTGAGGAATCTGCAGCAGCTCGGTTTGGCCCCGGGGTCCCAGCTCCTGGATGTCCCGAGGGCCAAGGTTCTCAATCCCACGTCCAGTCTGGACTGGGATCTGCCGCAATGCCCCTTGGAGGTGCTCCAGGGTGAGCGCTGGAAGGGATTCTTCTTGGGCAGAGGCGCGGCCGCGCTGAAAGGCCGACTCGACCCTCTGCCATGCCGCATTTAAATCAGGGGCCGTCCATGTTGCAGCCCATCGGGGCATACGAAGGTCCATTAGCTCGAGGGGCGAACCGACCGCCCCTTCATCAGAAATCAGCTCCGAGGTGACTTTGGCGTTCGGCTCGGAGTAGCGGTGGAGGTTTCCAACCTTGTCCGAAAGAGATTCCGCCACCCAAACCTTAAACTCAGCATGGGAAGCTCTGGCGGCAGCCTGTTGGCCTGAGCCGCGTTAGCCTCCGCCGTTTCACGAAGGGTGCGCCACTCGAGGAGCTCCAGCTGCTGCGGATCTCGAAGCCAGACCTTCCACGACAGGGCCGCTTCTGGCTCCAAGGCCAGGGGGGGCCCTGAGGGGGCGGAGCGCGCCCTCTCGGAGAGCCTCAAAATAGCTTCCTTACCCTGGGGCGTGGGGCCATGGCCGGGATCGGCCTTCCCAGCAGAATGTTCCCCGATAGCGTCCAGGGTGGCCACCTCGGCCCACCAGCGGGCCAGCGGGTCCGAAAAGCGAGAGGGCTGGTCCCTTCGGGTCATTTTTGAAACGGTTGGGCCCTGGGTAAAAGCTCGGCCTGAATAAAACTGGTGCTGCTCGTTAGGCAGCTGATAAATGTCGCAGTAGAAACATTCAAGTCGATCGACCCAGCTCGAAAAGAGATCCCCAAGGGCAGCAGATTTGGTCGAGAGCTTGAAAGCCCAGGAGTCCTGGATAAAACTAGGGATCGGCTTGGCAGGGCGGCGGGCGGGGCTCAAGTCACTCCAGCGGGCGTCCTTTTCGGCGTCCGTCAAGATGATCCGGTCGAGCCCACTCTCTGCGGCATCAGGCTGTAGCGGCAGGCCTCCCCATTCTCGATGTACAAGCGCGGGGTCTTGGTGTTCAGCGGGTGTTACGTGTGAATCTTTAATCCAGGTGTGATTTGCCAAGTTACCATTTTCCGAAACCGCTGCGGGCGCCAGTGGGGGCGAGAGAGCCGCGCCCGTTGAAGAGCGCGGCGGAGTAGCAGCAGCTGCTGGCTGCTGCACAGAAGCCGTAGGAGCAGACGGGGTAGCCGCGTCGAGCTCCTCATCCAATTCTATGTCGCTCTGTACCTCCATGATGATGTCAAAATCAACTTCGGCCTGATCCATCAGGCTGCATCTCGAAACTGGCGGAACCCCAGGTAGCGCACAGCTGGCATCCTCTGGCCCTGGGTCATGAGCACGTTCGCTGCCAGACGTAGCAGAGACAACAGCGCGGGGCGGGCCCAGGGCCATGATCTGGACCACCTCGTCGTAGTTCCTGGGCGGAAGGCCTTTACCTTGCCTGGGTGGGGGTGGGCCCTGGTCATCATCATCATCTTCAAGGTCCTGCGATGGCGCCGTGTGCTCCAGACGACGTGCTGCTCCCTCCTGCGAGCGCTTCGCCGTGCGCCTGGACCGCTTGCTGTTGGGGTCAGGGCCTCGCTTGGGCCTCGGAGGGTGCAGAAAACGCCGAGGCTGTGGCAAGGTGCGAATCTGTGCCAATCGGGTGTCGACCTGAACCTTGAACCAGATGCCTTTGTGATCCCCAGCTGCCTC